CTCAAATAGAGCGACTCAACACCACTGGGGAATACCTCCTTGCTTCTACCCTTTCTGATGCTGCTTTCTCCATTGAAGAGGGGAAGTTATAGTACTATGCATGTATAGGTTCTCCTCAAGAGTAGAAACCCCAGTTTTCCAGGGATTTTGCTTATGTGGAGAGCCTCCATGTGAACAGAGATGCTTCCTCTGCAGGTGCGTCACATTCTATCTGGAGAGAGGAGGAGCTGGTGCTCCTCTTTAGGTCAGGCAAGACTAGCCAAGACTACTGCATGGGCAGGCCCTTGAGGATGAGATATTTGTGAGTACACATCTCATCTCTAGCTCTGGGCTCCACTTTCAAAAGTGGGGTTTTAAGTCTGGGGACCCAAATCTCATCTCTACCTTGCACATAGTTCTTGGACAAGTCAGTTATTTTTTAGCCTCAGCATTTGCCTTCTGGGAATTGAGCCACAGCTGCCATGACAAGTTTTTGATGAATGCTAAGTTACACCTCATGGCAGACATTCTCTGAGCATGTCCAAGACCCTCTCAAAACTTCAAATGTGTCCAATGGATCTCCCTGAAAAAAGGATGGGAGCTCTGATTTAAGACTTCTTTAAAGATGGAAGCACACATTATTAACTCCTCCTTGCTGCCTTATTAAACCTGGTTAAAGGCTGATTTATGACAAAGAACAACAGTACATTGCTGAAACATACTGATGAATTATGAACAATGCCTCTGGAAGAGAATTAGCCTCTTCTAAGGCCGAGGTAGTTCAGAAGTTAACAGATGCTTTCGAAGTGTAGTAGATGTTTCTCTCTCAACATCTGCAGTGGCAAAAGACTTGGACAATGCATTTTATTCTTGACCCTAGGACTGTCATATATAATCAGAGGGATAAATGTACCAAGTGTTACCATGGATAGATTGCTGCTGAGATACAGTTGTGCATCTGGAAAAGAAAAAAAAGGGGGGGGGTTGCTTAGCATTATAGCAGTACTTGTAACCCATTGATACAGCTCCTTCCCACCTTAGAGAGAGAGTTGATTTTCTTACGGGGTCTGCCTGTTTATATCAAATTAGAAATAATCAGGGATACAGTAGGAAGAAAGCTAATATAGAAGCTAGGAGAAAAATTAGACTATAATTTGATAGCTAGAGCTAATGCTAGTAGGGAGACTGGAATTTATGTTAATTATGTATTATGTGAAGAAATCCAGTGTGGATTTCGAGTTAATAGATCCACAATTGACATGGCATTCTCCCTTACACAGCTGCAGGAGAAATGTAGGGAAATAACGACAGCCACTCTTTGTGGCCTTCATAGATCTTACGAAGGACTTTGATTTGGTTAGCAGCGATGGCCTATTTAAATTACTTCTCAAGACTGGATGTCCACCTCGACTACTGAACATCATCAGGTCCTTTCATGAGGAAATGAAGGTCACTCCTTTCATGAGGAAATAAAGGTCACTGTAGTTTTTGATGGCTCAACATCAGATCTCATTGACATCTGAAGTGAAGTGAAACAGGGCTGTGTCCTCGCACTGACCCTGTTTGGGATCATTTGTGCTGTCATGCTGAAACACTCTTTAGGAACTGCAACAGAAGGTGTCTATCTCTGGACTAGATCAGATGGAAAGCTCTTTAATCTCTCTAGATTGAGAGCAAAAACCAAAGTCCAGCTGAAATGCATGCGGGACTTCCTCTTCGCAGATGATGCAGCTGTTGTTGCCCATTTTTCTGAAGACCTCCAACAACTTATGAATCATTTTAGTAAGGCCTGCTAAGATTTTGGAATAACAATCAGCCTGAAGAAAACACAAGAAATGGGCCAGGGCGTGGATTCACCTCTCTCTATTACCATCTCCATGCAAGAACTGGAGGTTGTTCATGAATTTGTGTACCTTGGTTCAATGATCTCTCCCTAGATGTCAAGATGGATAAACGCACTGGCAAAGCAGCTACCATGTTCTCTAGACTCACAAAGAGAGTATGGCTCAATAAGAAGCTGACAACATATACCAAGATCCAGGTCTATAGAGCTTGTGTCCTGAGCACACTCCTGTACTGCAGTGAGTCCTGGACCCTTTGTGCATGGCAGGAGAGGAAGCTGAACACGTTCCATATGCGTTGCCTCTGATGCATTTTTGG